TTGGTTCGTACCATATACTGACATTTATCCCAGCCAGTCAGAGGATTGAAGGCATGAATCTGTTGAACTACTTTGGTACTGATTTCATCACAAGGTGTTAGATGAAATCAGTACCAAAGAGAGCCTAGGAAAAAAAGAGAAGTAGCACAATTGGGACACATTTGTGTTCGAAACAAAAAGAGTACCAACAATTCAGAGCAAAATGTGTCAAGCTTTCATTTGATGCAGCTTGAATATTCCTGACAAAGAAAATATTTTCTTTACCAGCAATTGTAACACACAACATTGTTCTGCAGAAGGCATGTTAAGCCATGAGGACCAGGGGTACGGGCAGCAGCTAAAGAGCCAAACAGTCCTGCAAAGAGAGCAGAGGCCATCAGCAGAGTCCTCATGGTCACAGTGAAGCAGGTTTCTCCCTCCTGTAGAGTAGTACTGGAGTGTGAACGTGTCCTGAGAGGATTGATTGAGTGAATGCTTCCACTGCAAGTCAGTTTATACGCAAAATGTGGCTATGTAGTAATGAGGCTCAGTGAAGATCCTTGAAATTGATTTGGTTAAGGGTATGTCTTGTGGTGATTAACTGACTTGGGGATCTTGTGCTGATTGTCTTTAGTCACACAATAAATACCTCTCATTCTGAATTGTACAAACACTTACGAACATCACATTTTAATTTATTTATAATGCCCCTGAAATGACGTTTCAAGAACACCTGATTTTAACCAAGATGTCAGTGGAATATGAAACAAACAACAATGTTTAGAAGTCAGCTTTCTTTCAATATTATGATGGTCAGTTTATCTAAATTACAAAAATTTATACTTTATATATATACTTTCTCTGAGATATCTGCTGCCTCCAAGTACAATGGCGATTTTGTGGACATGTCAACTTTAAATAGTAGTAGTATAGTATTTAAAACACTCAACAGCAACCTTTTAATCTTCCTGTTATTGTGGATAATCCAGAACACATTGGAAATACCATCCATTTATCTGGTTCAGATACAAACTGTTCACAGAACGGTCTAATCCAGGGTAACCAGGACAAAGGAAATGCCACACAAATTGCCACAGGAATCCCAGAGAAAGATATGGACAGCAGAAACTCAGTCGCAGACTGAAAACACATCTGTTGATGTACTTGTATATACTGTGTCAAATTGTTGGGATTGTATCCACATTTGTTGAAATGCACTTAAGTCACTTCGAATAAAAGCATCAGCTGAATATACATAATGTAATGTAATGTAAAATCTCAAAACTTGGGGAGATAAATAAAAAACTATCGGCAGGGCTTAATATCATCAGATCATTTTCAAATCAACAAAGCCTAACAGTCACCTGTTTTGTGAATGACCATCAGTCCATGTACAAAGTAATAAAGAATATAACAATTTCATGCACATTATTTGTTATTCATGTGGTCACTGTGACCAATATGAACTCAGATGTAACACTAACAAAAGTCATCTGATCTACGAATGACTATAATGGCTATTGTGCATGATACCTTGTAATTGAAGAATCTCTGGTCAATAAAACAAGCACACACATGCATACACTCACACACCTCCTCACATCCCCTCGCATGGAAACACAAACATAAGAAATCACACACAGAGACATAAAACCCAAGCCCATTAATCCAATTTTCCAAAAAAAAAAAAAAACACACTTACAGGATGACCCACTTTTTCACTATGTTTACAACCTTTCAGCAGCTGAACATAAAAGGGACTCTATAATTGACATGTCTGCTATACCATTGACAGACCACAAATTGACAAAAACTACAGAGATGCTGAATTTTGTTACAGACTCAAAGTGCTTGCATGTCATTAAGGGTTCACAAGGTTTGCTTGACCATTTAAAAACCACTGCAGTGGTGGTTCCCAGGCTCAGAGTGATTCAAGACCACTGACTGATGAATCTGGTGAGAATGGAGAGGAGCACCTTCATTCAAAACTGCCAAGATTGCCATGATCTCTGGAATCAAGCTCTTCAAAAGGAGCAGCTCTCATTTTCAGGAGTTTGTCAGGTAGGTGTGGCGATACTCACAAAAGCAAGCTTACTTGTTAATTAATTAAAGCTGCAATGGATCCCATGTCTCTATGTGGCTGCCAAAAGGGGGGGGGGGTCACATTTAAAATGGCTATTTATGTCACAAGTTCTGTGATAAACCTTTTGTTGGGATGACTCTCTGAACTGTTAAAGATCCCATAAGGGCAGCTATATGAAGCATCTCTTGCTGTCTGCCATCTCATCGTGCTCCTCATGATCAACTCGCCACTAAGAGCTTGACTGACCTGCCCACAGGCAACAGAGTGTGGAAGGTACTTGCCGGTACTGGTGGCTCCTCTGGATTTCTGCCCTCACTCTGCACTTTCAGATGTGACTTAAAATTCCAGCCAATAAAGTCATCACACATGTTTCACACAAGAAATGAAGAGAGAGAGGGAAGAGAGAGATGAGACATGCAACAAAGGGTCCACAGATGCAATCCAGTCGGGGAGTTGCAATTACATGGTCATCCACTAGGGTGCCTGCAGGGCAGTGTCTTAAGTGTTAGTGGTGATGGAAAGAAAGTTAGCCTTTATTGGTTTCCCTTCTAAGTTACACAGGGCATTAGGTAACTACTGAAGATGCACCGTTTTTCTTGTGTCTTGTTCAATTGTCAATTTCAAGGGAACTTTAAATGGCTTGACTGCGAGGGGCTGAACCCCCCAGAAGACACTGCCTCAAGCTACAACTGTGATGAGTATCAGAGGAATCAGTGGGAAAGGAAATTAACATCTCCATAAAGCTTGTCAGCAGATGGAAGCATGAAGGGGTGTAAAATCTCTGCCTCTCCTCTCGTCTTCCAGACTGCAAAATACAAAATTTACTTTCATCTGAAAAGAGGACCACTGAGCAATGGTCCAGTTCTTTTTCTCCTTAACCCAGGTAAGAAGCTTCTGACGATGTCTCTAGTTCAGGAGTGTTTTGACACTAGAAATGTGACACTTGTGGCTCATTTCCTGGACACGTCTGAGCGTGGAGACTCTGTGGCTTATCTTTCTTGTGGAGGGTGTCAATGAGTGTCTTCTGGACAAGCGTCAAGTCAGAAGTCTTCCCCCATGATTGTTGTTGTGTGTACTGAACCAGACTGAGAGTTTAAAGGCTCCTCTCACGGTGACATTTTAAATGGGGAAAAATAATTTGTGCACTAAATAAACTAAACTGCTGAAATTATAGTTACGGTACTTAGTATTACCATGGAATATCAGTCTAGGTCAGTCTATGGCCCCATGGTACCAGATAGCATTCACATTGAAGGTTTGTTCTTCAACAAACTTTGAAATGAATGAAATACATGATATCACACACACGCACACACTCCTCTCAAGGATATGCGCACCTAGAGCTCCTCTTCCAGGACAAGTGTTTGTTGGCTGTTGACCTAAAAAAAAAAATCACTGCCATGTGGACACTCACAAGGAGAGGTTGGGCTCACCTACACCCATAACTCTGGAACCAAACTCCTGAAGAGAGCCAGACTCTTTTATTCCAGAATTGTCCACCATGAGGGCATACTCACTAGTGCCAAGCTGAGATTTTCCTGGAGAATGATTGAGTAGCCTCTATGCAACTTTATATCAGAGAGAAGAAGGCTCCCTGGTTGTTGTAAGCATCAAACAGCATTTCCATCTTGAAGTCTTTATACAGGGTCCTGGAGAGGGCACAGCTTGAGGACTGCATAGTTACGTTAGGTGACTTAAAATCTAATAAAAACCTGGTCTACACCCTGTGCTAGTTATGGACTGCCCATAACAAACAACATGTTCAATCATAACGTAGTGACAGGTGATTGACTTTGTAGTTGCTGTCATCTTAGACGTCTGGGTGCAGAGCGGATCAGGTGGGAAACACTGCTGGACAATTGTGGTAAAACATCAAAGTGAACTAGGAACACCTGGCAGAGGCGTCAACCTCCAGAGGAACTATTCCTGGGGTAGAGTGGGGATATAAAATTCTTGTGGGCCATGTTCAAAGTCTCCATTGTGGAGGCAGCAGTTCTGACTGGTGAACAGAAGGTCATTGGGGTAACCCAACAACCAGCTGGTAATTTTTAGCAGCGAAAGAAGCAGTCAAGCTGAAACTGCCCAGCCAGTGGAACTCCTTAATCAGCAGACAGGTATCAGGAGGTCAGAGGAAGGCAGCTTTAATGCTAGCAGAAGCAAAAACTTGGGTGTGAGGAGTTTGGAGATGACTTGGAGAAACACTTTTGGTTGGCATGAGAGGGATTCTGGGAAAACATCAGATTACACAGGTCAGTGTTTCAGAAAATCTAAATAATCTTAAGTAGCTATGTTTTACATCCAGAATTTCTAGGTCAAGGCCAACTTCAGTTCTCCGGTTACCCTTGACTTAGCACTTTTGGATATACCATGAACTGGATGACACTGTGTTCTGCACCTAATCTATTTTTGTGCATCTCTGTATCTATTGTTACTCATAAGGAAAGAGGAGTGACCCAAGCTAAAGGCTATGTGCCCCTCAAAGGAATCAGCAACAGATTAATTGACAGTCCTGCATGCGGAGTTGTCCATTATTCAGGAATCAACATCAAGGATTTATCTCTAGTTCCCTGAATATTTAAACATGTATTATGTCCTGTCTTTTTAACATCAAGGTCTACAAAAATATATTTATATAATTTATTGTTTGTGCTGCTTGCTTTGTGTGCTAATGCTAATGGAAAATTGGCTTTCTCCGTGTGTTTTGTCCTTTTCCCCCCTGAACGTAGTACAGTGTTCTCTATTGCTCTTAGCTTCATCCAGGGCAACTAGAGACAAATGTATGTTGTGCAAGAATGAATCTTGCTATTGTGGATCTTCAGGCTGTCAATTTGTTGGACAGGATTTTTTAGGGTTATGAACTATGAAACCTTTAACCAGTGTCTGATTTGAATGTTTGTGTGTGTGAGAGCATGATACAAGGACACACTTATTATGCACTTGTTTTATTTACAACACACAGCGTTTTCTTTATCCATTGAATGGAGGGATTAAAAACAAAATTCTCCCAAGCAGACAGTATACACTCTGTCTTTATGTACATATTATTACTTCTCATACACTATGCCTTAGAGTATATACTGCATGTGTATAAGATCTCGACTGCAATGATTGCAGTCCTCGTCTCTTCCGCACCCTTGCCTCTCTGGTGTAACGACTGCTGTCTAATCGGCCTCATCTACCTCCTTTAATAAATGATGCTTAGCAGTGGGTGTCAAGGCAGACAAGAAAACGACTGAAGAGTCTGGAGATAAATAGGGACAGGTCAGAGCATTGAGACTTCCTGCTTACACTCAGCCCACATCAAAAATGTCAGGGATTTCAAGTGATTTAAGTGTCACTGTCACCAGTGTAAATATGTAACCCTTTCAAGCTTGTGATTTCCCTCTCAAAGATAGAAAAACATTCACACCAGATGAATTGTTTGTTGTCGAGCAGGAACAGACGGAGGAGAATTACTTGGTAGTGACTAGGAAAAAAAAACATTGCATTTCAAACCCACTTTATTGACAGCTTCTCTCTCTCAGTACAATGCAATGCAAGATTTGAGGTGCTGAGCAAAGAGGAATAAATATAGCAATAAATATAGTACCGACTCGCCTCACTGGCCATCTTTAATTCACACTCGCTGGAGCCATCAGACCCTTACCACAAACACACAAACTGATAAGACATCACACACAACACTGAGCCAAAGGTTTTTGCCTCCACCTTAAATTACAGTGGTCTTGGATCAATGTGGGCTGATATGTGCCTCAATTCAGCAGTGCTTTCAGAAAGCAAAGATGTTTTCTTTTATTTAAAATGTGTACTAAACATTGACTCCTGCCTGAAAATGGATTGGGTAGCAGAGACTGGAAGTTAGTGATTCCAAATGGTTTATAAAACATGAAAGTTTGGATCTGTCAGTGCATCCAACAGAAACCTGTAATGCTGACCACTTAATTTAAACATGATGGGAAAGACTTAACAGAGCGTCCAAATAATCAATGTTCATCAACTCTGAAAGAATGACATCTTAGTTTAACAACGGCATGCACTGCCTTTTTGTAGGTTTTCAGATAATGACAAAATAAAACCACATCTAATCAAGGTTCAACTCATCAATCATGGCCCAACCCACTTAACCTCCTTTAGATAATTCACAGATAAGTACATTTTGAAATCTCTACTTCCTTCTGTTAGAAAATGGCCTTGCCTTGATATCAACGGAAGATTATGTCAGATATCCTGTACATTTGATGTTGATGATCGTTTCAAGTAAAAGAGTAACAAAATCAAGGAGCACGAATATTTAAAAAACAAAAATCACATTATGAATTCTCACAGACAGGTCATCTGGCAAACTCTACACCACATTGTTACATGTATGGCAGCAATCAAAGGCAATTGCGAGACAATCTATTTCATCAGGATCCAGGCTGTGTATTGCATTTATAATACATTAGGGACAGAAAAAACTCCTGCTCAGTTTAGCTCCGTCTCAGAGAGAGTATGCTTTATATCATTTAATTGTTACTCATATTTATCTGATTAAACTATTTGAAACATATTATGGTTTATGCATGATGTCATACATATTATGTAATATCTCAGATCATGATATATATGTGACATCAGACTTAATTTAGCTGGTTTTGGTCTTCTGATTTGCCTGTTAATTCCCACAATGTTAGAGCAGTTCTATATACATTTATTAGTAATTTGTTAATATAACATACGTATAGTTTATGGATAATGGATCATTACAATAACAGTGCATTAAACAACCTGGTTCCATTATTGAACACACAGGCAAAAGCAGCTGACATCCAGATTTTTTTTTTTTTTTTTTTTTTTTTTTACTGTTGCATATTAATTCCTGTTATTGTGTGAAACTTGCTTTCTTCTTTACAACAATGGAATCAATTTGCATTTCCTCAAAAACAGAAAAAAAGTAGAAGATGGAGCAATCTGGGCAAAAAGCACTGGCGACTGATACAAGGTTGATGTGCCTGTGGTAACTAGAGATACAGTGATGACTAGAAAAAAAAAGAGAAATACTGTATGTGTCTCATTTTAAAAAATGGGTAGATGTAGTTTTTTTCTCCACCTTTCTCTTTTTTCCCCTTCTTATCTGCGTCCTGTACTGTGTGAAATATTATGTAAACTTACAAACCTTGTATAAAAGATAAAATAAAATAAAAGTAAAAATAAAACAAAATATGGCTGTTTCAGATGTATGGACTGACACTGTCTGGAGTATTAGTGTCCAAACTTGGCAGGGGAAAAAAAGGGAAAAAGATGTTCACAGCACAGTACATATATAGTGTGGGTAATTACTGTCTCTTTCACACACACACACACAAATACACACACACACACACACACATACACACACACACACACACACACACACACACACACACACAACACACACACACACACACACACACATACACAACTAACCTTCCCTTTCTGCCTCATGAGGCAGTACATAAAAGTGATATAGCCTACTTGCCGTCAGGTATTTAGCACAGCTTAGCACATTTTCAAGTGCAATGAACCCACTGTGGATCAAACTGTCCTTAACTACTTTTTGAAATTGCATCATGGACAGTAATTAATGCCTTCATACACTGTTCGTATTCCTACTGTGTCACTCAGTATCAAGCCTTCAGACCAGAGAAACAGAGAGAAAGAGAAGGGAGTTTAAGCAATCTGTGATTAAGGCAGTCTCATAAATATTGCAGAGAGGTTTTTGGCCCCTATTTTGGAGATAGACTGCCACCACAGTCTTGAATTCCTAGCTCTTACTATCCCCACAGATTACAGAGCAGACGAGTGGATGTGAATACCAATGGCAAAAGAAAATCTGAGTATGATGTCACAATGTTCGATCCATGGAGGAAAAATATCCCAGCAAAAACAACACCGAGCAGTAATCCTCTTTGGAAGAAAAGGTCATATTTGGTTTGTGTTTCAGTCCTCCACACAATGAATAATCTTTTACAGGGACCCTAAATTTAAAAAAAAGCACAGCTCAGGGCGATTTAATTAAGAAATTAAAGTAAAGTAGAAGCCTATATCTAATTTGTCCACTGAAGTTAGTGCTAGGGGCATTTTAAGCGGCGTGCAGAGACGAGGATAGACAAAGGTCCCACTTACAGTAGCTTAACTCTGTCTCACTTAATTGAGTTCATTCCAAGAGAAAAAAGTCAAAGCAGATACATACATATTAGTTGGACATAGGAGATGTTGCTCCCTCACTGTCTTCAGTTGAATTCTGCTGATCGTTTCGCTTCCTTGCAGCTTGCACATTACAAGCTCAAGCAGTTTTCAAATCTGCCAACATGGCAATCCTTATGTACTGTACCCTTTACAGTGCTTTTAATAACTGTACTTAGGGCTTCAAGTAATAACTAGACCTTTATCAGAGCTTCACACCCCTCTCTATACAGCGCAATAACAGTCCCTCAGACCCACTCCTGCATGGAGCGCTTGCAGTACAGTATGTGGCGCTGTGTGCTCTTCCTCCTGAACTGGAAAACAGTGTAAAGGAGGACCATCATGCACAGCGCCAGGACACAGGGGATAGCGATGGCCACTGCTTTCTCTGTACCCCCCGCGCTGTCCAGTTTAATGACGACGTCCACATCGCCATTGTCGTAGTGGCGTTCCTCCGCCACTGGGGGGCTCCAGTCCCAGTCGGGGTCGGCAGGTAGACCGTCACAGCCCATGAAGTCCCTCAGGATGGACCTCGGGTAGCCAGGCTCCACACGAAGCAGCTGGTTGTTGAACTTCCAGTACTCCTTTTCCTTGTAAAAGTAGGTAAAGCCTGGAGGAGGTATTGTGGGACACAACAACTTAATTTGCAAAGAGCAAGTATTGTGCAGTTTCATTTATCACTTTAGTGTGCAATAGAGTAGCCAAATCAGTGACTATGTATTAATGTCTATCAAGAAAAATATTCATTTGGAAAAAAGATCTTTATCAATTAATCGTATTAATCGTATTTCTCAATTGATCAATTAGTTATTTAATATAAAAAAGGGCAATAAATATATATAATTTACTATTATATGTGATACAAACCAGCAGTAATTCCTCATATTTGAGATAATGGAACCAGCTAATATTTGGTATTTTTGCTTGAAAAATATAATTTTGAATTAATCGATTATCAAAATTTCTAATAGTTGCAGCCCTAGTGTAATGTATTGCAACAGCAGTGTGTGCATTGAGTTACTTTTTTCCATTGTTTTTCACTCTCTTTTTGCATCTGCTATGACAAGTAAATGTGGGAGTGAGATAATGTTTGCACTTCCGGTTTTCCTTCTGTCATGTTGTTGCATTCAGGACTTAAACAAAAGCAACAGACAAAAACATTTGACACCAAACTACGTGTCTCTACAGTTCAATTAAATTAAATTTTATTTATATAGCACCAATTCATAACAAAATCTCATTTCTCTTTGTAATATTATTTACAGAGACCATTCCTACCACGAGCAAGCATACCGTTGGCCTTATCTACGAAAGCTCCCTGTGGAGAGTCAGGGATGCCCTTCCAGATGGTGATGGGTTTGGGATAACCTGGATCCATTGTCCTCATGTCCTCATTGTACCTCCAGTATCTACACACAGGACAGACAGAGGTTTATGCACACAGTCAGTCAGCGACATGTGTTACTGTCAGACACCTGACCCTGAAGAAACAGTGTGCTGATTTAGGTCAATCCCAAGTAAAATGAAATTAATTAATCCAACACCTGGACATGGTTACCAAATCCATCTACGCTAAAGCACAAGATCTATTTGTCTTGTCTTTCAGAGTATACAGAGGTTATGAACTTCCCTCGTCACCAGCATCCAAATCATCCTGAAAGATTGCGTCAGTGTCCCTTGAACGGGACATCAAACTAGGGCAGAGTGACAAAATCAAAAACAGAAAAGACAAGCTAATGTGAAAGAAGTTTGCATTCTTGAATTGGGCTTTTAGTGAAGAAGTAGTGTCAGGAACCTGTGTAGCCAATATAAACAGTCCCACCACTTAGGGAAAAGATGCAAAAAAAGAATCAATTTATTATATGACCAGATATGAAAAACTATCAAAGTGAAAACTTTTATTGACAGTGTGCTGGCTGTAACTTGCAGCCATACTTAAGAAACAGTCTTCATTACGGTGGCCTTGAGAGCTCAACTCATCTTAACTTAAGAAAACACATAACACAAAAAACACAAAACACAAAGAAATTAAGAAAACATCTTCACCAATTTCACAAAACATGAGCAGAATTTACAAGAAAAAAAACACTGCACAGAAATCAGTCTTCACCATCAATCTGATAATTTAATGATCAGCAACTGACTTAAATCACAGGACCAGAGAAGGCGGTCAATTAATACCCCATACTGTGTTTATCTACCAGGCAATGTTTGTTTCACTGGTTATCGTGATTGATCTGCTTCTCATACACTGGCACTCACACACATAAATCTTGCTACACAGTATCATTTCTTTGAATTAGAACACCACCTGTGACACACACAGAGGTAAAATCATGTTTGAAACTATGGACAGAATGTCCTGTTTGTCATGATGTGCAGCAGCAGGTTGAGCGGTGACAGTATCATGACAAAGCATTTTGTCAGTTTTCACCACAGGGTCCCCTGACCTCTTAGGATATGATTTATCATGACAGCTGAACAAACATGTGAGTCACACTGGCATAGTCTCAAACTTTATTACGCATGCAATGCACATAGGTAAACAACAGATTCTCTAATTTGGTTGTTTTGGCAAGACTCCCTGGTTTCAATTCACTTCCAACTGCAGGTAACGAACAATGCAAGTAGACAAAACAATATAAATAATAATCAGATAGACATGTTGCTCTTACATCAGGTCATTATGGGTTGAATGCCAATAAGCATCATTTGTATGCTGTTAAATAGGCAATCAGCGTTTTCAAAGAAACAAAGCCAGCTAATCTATGACAAAATTGAAGATGCACTGATTAACAAACCTGCAAAATTATTAAATATCTAAAGGTCTCCCCAAAAAATTAAATGTTCCAAACACAAACTGCACTGATGAAGATGATCAAAAGGAAAGGAGCTGACAAATATTTTATTCTTTTGTCTATAGGATCCACTCCTCAACAAGCTGTATTAAACTATACCTATAAAACCAAGTAATGATGTATATACCATCTGGCAGAGGTGGGAGTAAGTCACACATGTCCAAGGCACAAGCAAGTCTTAACCTTCAAGTCTCAAGCAAGTCCCAAGTTACTGTGATGAAAGTCAAGCACGAGTTCAGTTTGTTTAAACAGTTTAAGAGAGGTAGCAATTACACTGTATGATCATTTTGGAAGATGTAGTGAGTGTTTCTGTTTTATATTGAACACTACACAAAGGTGTTCCTATTATTTAGTCTACTATTGGCTTTACTGATTATTGAAATGGGTAAAATAGAGTAATAGAAACATGTGTCAGTAACAGTAACCTCTTACTATTCCTGTAAAATTAGTTTTAAACACCTATTCAAGGCATATCCAAAGTTAATTGAATGAATTTTCAGAATTTTATTGTCTACACAAAGTACCAGTCATTGGCACCATTGGTTGCATTTGGCTCAGCCTACACACGAAATAATAGCGGCTGGCCCTTCCTTACAGCGCAGGCTCTCCATGTAGGACATGTGAGTTCAGCGGCTAATCTGAACACAAGATTTCGCAATTGTTTATATCCAAAATAGAGTTATTACAGTTATAATGACATACGAGCCACGTCTGCTGGCAAATATGAAGCGATGTAGCAGCAGTCCCTGGGGATTTATTGATGGTGTTTTGGACTAAATATTTTTACTGGATTGGATCGTCTGGACCTTTGACAACGTAACAAGACCATTTTTGTTGGAATATAATCGATTGGTCGACTACTATGAGGCTTCAAAGGTGAGTCGTGTCAATTTTGATTTTACTGGTTGGTCTGAGAGAGGGGCTGATTGTACCTGCTGTGGGGTGTATCTTGAAATGGTTTGCATTGATCGAATCACAAGGATTTTAGCTTTCAAACGGTGTATGGTCATATGAGTAACTATAAACTTAACATAGCAGTTGTGGGCACATATCTAAAGCTCTCATCAGGACCTGTTGCCACCAGGAAAGTTTAGAGGTTTTCACATAAAGTTATAAACTGCAGACAAACAACTGGGTGTAGCTTAAAGTTAACATGAGCTTTCTATAATTCGACCAGCCTATAAGTTAGCTAAAAAGCCACAGTCACGTAACGTAACGTGTCTCAAGTCATGAATACCAAGTCAAAGTCAAGTCGAGTCTTTTGTCTGTTTCAGTCAAGCAAGTCTCAAGTCTTCAAATTTGCAACTCGAGTCAAGTCAAGTGACTCGAGTCGCCCACCTCTGCCATCTGGTAACATAGAGTTAATTTATTGGCATAAACAAAAGACTTTGATAGAGATTTCAGCCATCAGTGCTCTTAGTCGTGCTTGTTTGCTCTGAGAGATTTCAGTTCTGCTTAACTTCATAACACCACTGATAATTGTTCCACACAGACCTGTCTCCTTTGAAGAAGTAGGTTTTGGCGACATCCTCCCACCAGACAGCTGTCTCGATGCTCTGAGTGGGCATGCCACTCCCGAACAGAGAGATGTCCTGAGGGTACGAAGGCTGGAGAGTTGTGTCCTTGAAGACCCAGAAACGGTTTCCTAAAATACACACACAAAGTTAGAAAGCTCTGGGACAAATACATTATCATAAAATGACCTCAAAAAATGTGCTAGACAAAACACTGCCAACACTCAGCTCATTCAACCCCCCTGTGTGGGTTTTTTCCAGTGAGTCTGTTTATTTCTATTCACATGATTCAAAGGTCAGATGTATCACGTCGTTTACAAAATATCTGCACCGCAGAAAATCTATGCAGTGTTATGTATAATACAATAAACAGCATGATGATGCTCTGAAGGCAACTCCATTGAGACTCGTTGTTTTCAGTTTTATTGAAGCTATTGTTGCATTTAATTCAGTTTGATCATAAGTGCCTCAGGCAGAGTGAGGAGAGCTGCTGTGGTGGTGTGCTTGCAGTAAGTAGCTACACGCTCACATACACACACAGGCAGTTAAGTCCCCCAGAGTGAATAAATAAAGCATGAGGCACTCTGATCCCACTGGGTGACAGATGTCACGTTAATCTGCCTGATGGACGGATGGCTGTACTGGACCTGCACCCGTTTTGTTACCGTACAACCTCAAAGTCACCTCAAAGTTGCTATATGATTAAAGATTACTGTGTTTAGAAAGCTCACATTTACAAAATTCACTTGTTGCGGTGGTATGCAATAAAATATTATTGTTAATTAATAAATGGAAGATTAGTGTGTGTTTAGGGAGCTCACATTTACATATTCACTTGTATTGGTGGTATGCAATAAAATATTATTTTCAATTAATAAATAGAAGATTATTGTATGCCTGAAGAGCCCACATATACACATTCACTTGCAGTGGTGGTATGCAATAAAATAATACTTTTATTATTGTCTTCTTTGTCATTTCTAAGTTATTATATTTTTTTTGGTTTAGCAGAAAAAAATAACTGCTATGAATTTGCCACTAATAAAGGGTAAATAAAGGGTTATAATTTGCGTAATCTATTTTTATTTTGTTAGAGCCTTTTTTCACATTTTTGTGGATTGATTCATTTTATGAATTCCTGTCTGATAAATATGTGATTTTAAAATACTGCTACTGGTTTATAAAGCACTTAATGGTTTAGTGCCAACACTTCTGATCTGAGCCATCCAGATCTCTCAGGTCATCTGGGACAAGTTTGATTAGTTAAAACTAAATGTTGGGAACCATTGTTCAGTTTTTATGCACCATTCCCAGAAAACTGCAGGTCTGCTGAAAGTCTGTTATTGTAAACCAAGGCTGAAGATCCAACAAAGGTTAAAATCAAGGGCAACTGGACTTGGTTGAAGATACTGGAAGACGTTTCGTCCCTCATCCAAAAGGACAGAGGACACTCGTTTGAGGACCACCAGGTGCACATTTTAGACAGAGAAGATGGATGGTTTGAAAGAGGTGTCAAGGAAGCCATCTACACCGGGGTTGAGAAGCCGTCATTGAACAGGGGAGGGGGTCTACGCCACCACTTATCCCCCACTTACAATGCTGTCCTTTCATCACTTCCCAGGAAACTCAACAAACGTAACCTATTGGCCTCAGGTGAAGATGCCAACGATGGTCGTTCAGTCTTGGCCACAGGTACTCTTAACGACTGTAACGACTGTCGTCACAGAAACAAGGAACACTAACGAACCAGCAGTATCGATGACCCGGGCCAACGACCCCACTGAGGTTAAATAGCTGAGTTTCCCTGCCAGTCAGTCAGAACTGAAGAAGTCCTTTGGATGAGGGACGAAACGTCTTCCAGTATCTTCAACCAAGTCCAGTTGCCCTTGACTTTAACCTTCGTTGGATAACTATGACCTGGATGACTGAGAATCTTCATAGACAACAAGGCTGAAGACTTTTCTTTTTCCGCTGCCTTTTATTAAATCAAATTCAAGGTTTTTGATTAAATTTTTTCTCGACTGCATAAACAAATTTCCTGAAATTATGCCTCTTTTTCTCAAAACTCTAAATACAAATCCACAACTTCTCACCCAGTTCTCCAAACATCTTATTTTCAGGTCAAAATGAAGTTTTCCACTCAAAGCTATTAAATCTTGCTGAAAAACCATCCTTCAGACATAACACACAAGCCCTCAAAAACACACACACTACAACACAGTCTTACACACTGGTGAGAGAAATCGAAAACAATATTACAAAAACTGGTTATTTGTAATGTTGCTTGCGGTTCTCCCCCTCAAAAACCTTTTCACATGATGAACACAGCAAAAGAAATAACAAAAGTAAACATCTGCACATTTTTTATTCCTTAGTGTACTGTAAAGTACACCAAACAACAAATTATTCTGCCCCAGCGTCCTGTCTTTGGTCTGAGACAGGCCAGAGATTTTTGTTCTCCACTCCTCCTCCGCCCTCTTCCTACTCTTCATCTTCCTCCTATCCCATCTCCTCCTCCAACTCCTACTGTTCCCCTTCCTTCACCTCTTACTCTTTTCCATACTGCTCTTCCTCCACCTCCTCTCCCTCCTCTCTGGTGTCCTCTATGTCTTCCTTCAGCTTCTGATTGGTGTGTTATTTTGACTGTTTGTGTTTCCACCTGCGTAGCTGTGTGCTAATTGAGCTCAACCTATGCTGACTTAGGTGAACAATAGTAAAAGTTAGTGTTTTCTCAATGACCACATGGTGTAGGCAATGAGAAATGTAGGGATTTGTGTGTAGAGTTTATAGAAATTGGTGTGCTTTTTGAAAAATTGAGTTAGTTCAATAGCCTGGTTATAGTTTTCAAGCAATTCAGAAAAACTGTAATATCTTATCCTCTAATGTTTTTATGTTTTAGGTAAAGCAATATAAATTGCCTTGTTATGTGGTGCTTTAATAAACTTGCCTTGCCTTGAATATGGGAGAAAAAATGTAATAAAAAAAAGGTGCACTGTGGTAAAAAAACAACAAAAAGTTATGTTTACATTCAGTGTATTTCCCAAAATGTACATGTCTGTTCAAAGCATTACCTCCCTCATAAAACATTTGCAAAGCATCCTAAATTGTGGTTTACATCCACGTTTGCAAGCTAGCAGTCTTCTTTTTCTTCCTTGCCTTTGTTGGCATGTTGCTACATTTCCTGTGCTTTACCACCACCAAATACCACCCCCAAATAGCATGAAATCAGTAGCATAAATGCAAATTGCTCATGTACTCTCACATGTCCTTGTGCATCCTAGTGGGTTTGCACAATGCAAACTAACAAAATGAGGACCCACTCGTAATAACAACAATCTACAGTGCTTCTACTAGTCAAACAATAGTCACAGGCTACCATTAATACATTTTAAAAAAATGAAAAAAATATAAAAACAGAAAATGATCTTGCTTTTATTACCTTTGAAAAAGACAAACTTCCCTTCGCTATTTTCATACACGGCATCAATTTTGGGAGGCAAGCCTTTCCAGAAATAGTTGATCTGCATGGGGTAACCAGGAACAACTGAGTTGTCCCGTACCCTCCAAAACCACTGGTCCTATAGAAATGAATATGGAAGAATCATCATTATCATCATCATCATCTCAAACTGCTTTAAAAAAGAGCACCCATGTTCCCTCAGACTGATGATCTACTCTACCTTGAACACAAAAAGCTCCTGCCGGAGGATGGCCAGGGTGTTGAAACCTCCATCACAGATGTTGGGTTTGGAGTTGGGATTGGAGGGCTTGGCCCCCTGTGGAGGGCGATGGGGTCTGGCATGGCGGTCATGCTTACGGGGGTCTGAGGGAGGGTGAAAGCGAGGAGGAGGAGCCGTGGGTGGGGGCCTGGTAGGCTGCGGTGCTCTGTCTGGTGGACCTAAAAAGACAAAAAGTATGTCATCCTGCTTCCATACTTTTTGTCTGCACATTTTTTCTGTGCTTGTAAGATTGAACTAGATTACATTTTTGGACAGTCTCCATTAAGATATTAAATATGTTTACAGTTTTTTGATCAATGAACCTTTAATTTTGGCACAAATGATTTGGCCTCTTTAGAGCTCTGTTAGTTGACTCATGTTGCATTGAAAACGCTTGTTGACTGTCCTCTTCAACATCTGCCAAACTGTGTTTACTGGCATTCAACCCATCATGACTGAATGTTGCAGCAGCATTTGTAATAGAGGGTGAGTTACTTCAGGGATTCATCATTTATAATATTTTGTAAAATAGTGTCAATTAAGTGTTGGAACAATATAATACATATTATTGCTCTAGGGGCTCCGTCTAACTTCTATCTATATTCAACATCTCTGATACACACGTGTATGTATGAAGTAGAGGGTTACCATAGATTTTCTGGATGCCCTGTAGGTCATCGTGAGGTAGTTTGAAGTTCTCTGTGTCCATGTACTGGTAGAAAGGAGCCATGATAGCCGTGGGGTCATTGGAGTGTTCCAGACCAAGGGCGTGGCCCAGCTCATGCACCGCAACCAAGAACAGGTCGTTACCTAGAGAGGGGAAGAGGGCATTGTGAATGCAAAAACGCTCCATCATATAGGATATACATGTACAGTGCCGTGCCGTGATGAAACAGATAAACCATGTCAAATATACACACAGAAAAATGTGTAGACATTGTGCTGAATGTATATTTTGGTTGTTTCAAACAAGGAAATGTCGATTTGCAGGAGGCCTTTGTATATGGGGTTGTATGCTGGATATACTGTCTGTTGATGCTGGGGTCAGTGTCATTCATAAACTTTAATGACAAAAAAATATATATACACACAAAAATGACATTAATATGGACATCAGACATGTTTTAAATTACTGGGCAACTAAATAGCCAGCTGTATATCTATAAATTACTGTTTTCCCACTGAACCAAACCAAACCATGGCTAAAATGTGTTACACAAATTATTCCAAGAGATGGGATGATAAGACATGAGGGAGCATACATGGGCACAAAATACTACTTTCCCTCAGGTCTTGTTGTGATTACTTGATTAGTCAATCATCAGAAAATAAATCAACAACAATTTTGATAAGACTTACTACCTATTATTTATTTAGTATTACATTTTATAGACAAACTATTAATCACATAATTGAGAAAAAAACGGCTGATTCATTAACAATGAAAATAATCATTACTTACAGCCCTCTGGTCCATACGTAACTTCCATTGAGCTAATGTTGTACGATGTACAAATAAAGATTACTGGAGGTAAATTGCAAAGCATGAGCACTTTTCCTCTTTTGCTCCATAAGAAACAGAGACACATCAAAGAGTCACAGCCCACAGGGAGCAGATGGATACACACTGACGTTGCTGCCCAAGTCACCAGAATAGAGAAAATACAAACACATGATAATATAATGAACCTGAACAAATACAAATGTCGGCATAGCACGAGGACCCACACTGTGGGTCTAGTTTGTATCACATATAAACACACAGACAAATGAATGAAACGTCCTGGTCAGTGTCTATGGTCAACACTCAGCTCATAGTGTCAACCTGATTTAGAAAGAAGAACGCATTTTACGTACAGCTTGTGACTGAAGCTGTCCCCAGGAGATTGTTGCCCTTTAAAACATGATATCCACTCCTGCCAGCAGCACTGCACAGAACAACCACTGACCCTCAGCCAGCATCTAAAAGGTTACACCTCCCCCTCCTCCATTTATCTAACACAACCAGCCTCATCCACCTAACCAAAAATTGTCCCATAAGGACTCCCAGGAGACAGGCCGGAGCAACCATTAGCGCACATGTCAACATGCAACATTTAAAATTACACCGCTGTGAAAGCCCATTAAAGGTTGCACAGCTTTCCAGACACATAAACTGAGACAGGAGCTCTCAGAATCAGCCTCAGCTATTTGACTTGGGAGTCTGAGACAATTACCATTGCGTATGAGAACAAAAGAGAGAGACGGATGGGACCTGATGGGTTGTAAGCAGTTTCCCAGAACTAAAACAATGTGAGCTGTTACCCTCCTCTTCCACTAATGGGAGGATAAAATGCAAGCGTATGGCACATGGGTATTAGTGAAGTAGCCTGGTGGTGCACTGACAAGCCTGGCGCCCTGTAGGTAGAATAATTAAAGTGTGTGTGGATGCTCGGCTAACAAAGGCATCTTATCTCCCTCTGTGGTCTGCTGCATCCTGCCAGAATCCATGTTGGCAGGGTTGGCCAACATAATATGTTATGTGGGCCACTGTTATATGTTATAAAATAATTCATAATAACAATACCTAACTAAATCTATTATAACATTACCCAATATTAACAATACAGTCACAATAACATAACATAACATGTAATACAATAATAACTTCAACTAACACACCCATAATAACACAGCACAGCCTAACATAGCATAATACAGCACAACATAATACAGCATAGCCCAACACATAACATAACACAACATAACACAGCACAACCCAACACAACATAACACAACACAGCATAACACAGCACAGCCCAACACAACATAACACAACACAACATAACCCAGCACAGCCTAACAAAACATAACACAACACAGCCTAACAAAACATAACACAACACAACATAACATAAAATAACACAACACAACACAGCACAGCACAGCACAGCACAGCATAGCCTAACATAACATAACACAACATAACACAGCACAACACAACCCAACATAACACAACACAGCATAACACAGCACAGCCTAACAAAACATAACACAGCCCAGCCTAACATAACATAAAATAGCACAACATAACACAGCACAACCCAACACAACACAACACAGCACCGCCCAACTTAACATAACACAACACAACACAACACAGCCCAGCCCAACATAGCACAACACAACATAGCACAACACAACACAACAAGCACAGACCAACACAACATAACACAACACAAGAACACACAACATGTTTTTTGCCATGACATGACATCACCTTTTTTCACTGCTGTAATGATATGGATATATATATGGCACCTTTCTCTCTTCTGTTTTACCTATCTTGAAGCATACCACGGAGCTACATCAAATTCACTAAAACCAAAATAGCCATAATCATGTGCCAGCAACCAATATCTTAAAATAGCAGAGCTTTCTATCCTGTCATCTAAAAAGCTTATTATGCAGAAAAAACATCTAAATCCTGACAGATGGGGTGATGTGTCTTTACAGAGCACAGCTCGATCAAAGACATCTCTGCATTCATCATAATGTCATAATGCCCTCCTGACTAGCCATCTGTATTTCCAGTATTTGTTTTCCATCAGTCCTTATCTGTCTCTCCTGATGACTGTTCTTTTTTCTGTTTCTCAATGCTTTCCTCACTCCTTCGACAACCCTTACTTGTTTACTTACATTATGCATTTAACAACCTGTCTTTCTCTAACTTGTTCCCTTTCTTCCCTAAACTTAATCTTTTCCTTTAATAATTTCCTTTCCAATCTGCCGCTGCAGCTACTTTTACTTTCCTTGTTGGCTCCTTGTAAGCCTGTCTTACTCTTTACCACCACCACTTTAGGTTTACACCCACTCTTTCTTTCACTTACCATCATGGTTGGGGTTCCCCAGGGTCCAGGGCTCATCTGAGTCAAAGTGTGTGTCCCCTCCTATGCCTGGGCCCGGGAAATAGGCGTGGGCAAGGAATCCCCCCTCCCCGTCGAAGGGTGAGCTGTCGCCGTGAAAACCCGAGGCGAAGATGATGGTGATGTCCACATCACGCCTGCCAGTTTCCAGGGCGCTGTATGGAACAGCCTCAAAGCGTAGGGGAGTCACACCCTGCCACACGTCAAATGCCCGCCGGATGGCATCGTGAGTCTCCCGGGCACCCACCTTTGGCGTGACATTTTTTATGCTGTGTAAAGAAGTAATGCAAAGGGATTGAAGGCTGCTGGCTATGGCTATGAAGCTGAGATAATGTTCTGCATGTTGTAGTTTACATACTGCATACACAGGAGTAAAATAACTGGATGTAAATTGTGCATTATACTACCATTTGAAACTACAGGGAACAAAACATTCAGGAGAAGTGGAAATAAAATAAAGTGAATAAAACCGCATCAACTTGGTGCCTCGTTATCCCATTAATTTCAAGTGAACATTTTTACTTTTCAAAATGAGGAGACTCTAAAAAGAAAAGTTACACTTGACACAACTATTTCAAGCCCAGCAGCATTTACTGAACTTTTAACACAGCAGTCGTTATCAGTCCCTGGCAGGCAGAGAAGGATGGGAAATCTTCTCCCTCTCTCTCCACTTATTTTCATGAATAAAGTGCAGTCAGCAGCAGCACTGGCTCAGCACTGATTGACATTCCATTAGGAGGGGTGGCTCATCAATTCAAATTCGTGGAGGAAGGAAGGATTTGAATAAATTGACAGTGTTATCATCTATTACTGCTGTAACCTGTCAATTTGCAGTTGTGCCAGAGTCCCGTTTATCAGTTCTCCTCAGAACCTATTAATGTTGGAGCTTAATCAGGCGAGATAAGATGAGAGTTTGAATATTTCTGCTGAGATTACGGACAATTTACACTCTGGATTTTCAAACGGTTTTATATGAGGGAGAGGAAAGCCTTCAGTCATGTTACTCAGCTAAAATTGTTTGTTTTGTTTCATGAAAAGGGAAGAATAAATGGAAGAGGGCTAAAATAACTGCCTGATCCCATTTTTCATTTTGCCAGAAAGCTATTTATACACTGGAAAGTAAACATACTCACTGCGCACATGGGCTGTGAGTATGTTAATTTGGATGTGTGAAGTTGACTATTTTTTTTGCGTGTGCCCCCACATATGTGACGTATCTGCTCAGTCTCTATGACAACACAAAGCATGTGATTCAAGGTGGTTAAAGAAGAAGAGATGAGAGACATAGGAGAGCTGAGAAAATGAACACTGGCACACCTGAACCTTACAATAAGCGCTGCTAAACTCAATGGTCGCTATGACAACTGCCTCCACTATCTCTTACCTGTAGGTGATGTGTGTACGCTGCCACTTCTGTCCTGTCAGCGCGTATCTCCGCTTCCGTGACCTCGAAGCACTTTTAAATTTGTCCGGAACTCCACAGCGAGGTTTCTGCATCCAACTTCAAGAAGAGAAGAGAAGAGAAGAGAAGAGAAGAGAAGAGAAGAGAAGAGAAGAGAAGAGAAGAGAAGAGAAGAGAAGTGAAGGTGATTTAAGTTTGCAAAATAAAGTGTGAGGCAAACACCATCACAAGACAACACAAAGCACTGAAGTGAACTCAGTAGTTCTCTTCCTGACAGGTGCCAGATAATCACAACAGCAAAATAAAGAAGTGCTCTGCACAATACCACTAAACTACTCCATACTACAGTGATTAATACAAGTGTGAGATCAAATTCTCAATGAGGGCTGAGAAGAAATCAAGAGGTTTTATGTTTTCTCATTCATACCACATCAGATCATCACAAGTACAGACCACACAACACTTAATTAATTTTTTTAATTCTCACCTCAGCGTGATATCACTGCATCATCATGCAAAATGAGAAGAGGGAAAAGTGTTAAAACCTTCACCTGACGTTGTTTCAGGCGAGGTGATAGGGGGTGAAATGAACATCTCTATTTCCGCCCTTCGCTAATTCATTAAAATATTGATAGCCATTCCTTCTGCATTTTAAATGAGTGGAACATTTGCATTAATGTAACATCAACGGCCTAGTAAAAGTGCACCTGAGACTGTATTTGTACAAGCACGGAAAGTGCATATACTCACTCCTTGGTTTTCTCATCCAGTGTCCCTGTGACATTGAGACCATAGACACGTTGCATGGCAGCAATGGCTGAGTGCATGGTGTGGGCCGAGCGCAGGACAGACATTCCTGGTTCTGTGCGGGGAAGGTAGCCATACCTCTGTAGCCATCCCTACGAGGAAGAAGAAGGAGAAAGATTTGGGCTTTCATACCGTGGCTGTTTCAAGACTTGTTTTAGACTCTTTGCCTGTATTAGAAAATGAGAGCAAAGACATGGAGGTATAGTAGGAGATGAAATGATTTCCTAGGCTGAAATCACATCCAGGGTGTTTTACATTTGCAATGTGTGAGCGTTTTACAATAACAAATGAGTTATTCATCTAGTACAATATGCATGCCTCAGCCGAGCTGTTGTGTGTAATACTTCATCAGTGAAAGGTTTTAAAATAAATTACCTTCTTGTCTTCCCATTAACTGCAGCTACGAAGTTGAATCTCCTTCATTTTGTATTTCATTAGATTTGTCTCTTTTTCAGCATTATTTCACTTATTGCTTTGAGGCTGTGCAGAGCAAACACAGACATTTCTCCACCGCAGTGACTGGGGTACCTTGCTCACAGGCACAACAACAGTAGCTTTTTAATGAGGATAAAGTGTTGTTTGTTGAGTTACCCTAATCAGTTTTCCTCAGTAAGTGGCCAACCCCATAATAAAAATCAATAGGTATATGGCTGTGCGTAATTCATTATGCATCTCACAAAAGGCTGTAAGGTAACTAACCGTTGCTTCAATGCTTTTGTATTAACGCAAGAAAACCAGCTGCACTGAGAATAATCTGCTGTGTATATTTATATTTAACGTCACAGTGTGGATGAAATGTTCAGAAGCTTTAAAGGTAGAATTTACATGTAAATAGTCTTTTTTTGCAGAAAATGTCTATCCAGCAGTGCTTTAGGTTTAAATATGTAGCCTATATTTGCTCAGAGGCTCCCTGGACATCAGTGCAACTATTTGCATTTGAATCCCTTCTACTGACCTTAGTCAGTGTTTGTTCTTGCGGCTGCCGGTCAGTGAACATGTGCAGCAGTTTGGCCCTGCCTCCTCTTGCCCTACAAAGCGAGAGTGCGGCTTGATACAGAGGGGAGAGGTGAGACCAAGCATCATCCAGAGGTCACTGCCAAACTCAATCCTGAAGCTGAGCTGCCACAAGGTGCCCACGCTATCCACAGCTGTCCACACGTGAACCAGCTGCCTCCTCATTACTACACAGCCTATGAGAAATGCTCCAGCTAGCTAATCTGACTAGCTGTCTCCTCTGTCCATCCCTCCCCTTTCTGCCTCTTTCTGCTGAGCTAAACGCCTTGTTTATCCCTTTCATGTGGGTGCGTTTCCTGTGCATGTAGTGTTTGTTCAAAGGCAGAGATCTCAGATCAAGCAGATTTCAGCGAGCCATAAAACTGAATAATGATGTGTTTGTGTGTGTGTGCGAGTGTGAGTGTCAGCCTCAGCATTTAATATCTTCAGTGTGTTGGGAGGGGTGGGCTGAGGTGAGGCTGATAATGACATAAATTAATAACGTACAAAAAGCAAATCCTATTACGCAACTTGTGTCTGTAAATGTTTAATCTCCTCCAAAACTATGGTGATGCCAAGGCATGTCTGACTTTATGGTGGCCTGTCACAAAAGTATATCTAGCAATGAAAACATGATACTGTCGGACATCTCTGTTAACACAGACCACTGAAGTGCAGTCGTATCTAGGCTGCACATTTGGGATCAGTGGGCTGGAGCGGCTCAGCTCACGGACCGCAGTGTAATAAAATGAACATCCTTCTGTTTCATTGCACTCTACAAATGAGGAATGCTCGATATGTTCGCCGTTAAGTGCGTAAGCTGTCCTGATACGTATCCATGTTTTATGCGTTATGGTAATTGTGCCCACGGATAGCCAGGGGTGTCAATATCTATATATGTTTTTCAAGCTGAGGCAGATGATGTGGAGGAGAGAGCTCGGTCATTTAAGATTACCAGGGAGGGAAGGCCATTCATCTTACCTCAACGCTGAACTGACGATCCTCCTCTCCGGACACGGCACACGAAAACCAAAGCAAAAAATGCAAGCAGAATGCTGCCGCGTAAAAGCAATCCGATGGTTTTCTTTTACTGGAGGATACTAAGGTCATAATGACCTGTTTTTCCCGAGTGTTTATTAGAAGAAGCCGCCCGTCTGCTTTGGCTCTTGTGTCAAATGAAAAGCATCAGGCGAGATGTCAAGGCAGGATTCAGATGAAAACGAGAAAACAGCCACGCGTTTAAAATCCCGATGGCGGCATAAAATGTTCAGATGTCAAGCAGAGATAACGCGGCATGTTAGACCCGCTGCCCTCGCCATTCTTATTTACATCAGGGGCTACATCTATCCAGCAGCATCAATGGCCATGTACAGTACCCACTCTGCGCAAGATAGGCTCCCTCCCGACTCGACGCCTGCGCTTTGATTTCTAACACAGCGCAGCGCTGGTTGGCAGCATCATGAGAGATGAAATGTCCTTCTTCAGAACTGCCTGTACGTTTGACTTTTACATTGCAAAGGCCACGGCTCTGTGCAATTTGAAGCGCACATGTGCAGTAAGATCGTTTGATCTTGAAAATAAACAAAGGCCTAGATCCAGATTAGGCTATGTGGGCTACAGCCTAGATTCCTCCTCTGCCTTTACAAACCTAAGCCACATTATTTTTATGTGCACTGGCAAAACGGCGTAGTAATCATATAATAAACAAATTATAGCCTGCACCTTGTTTATAATAGATAAATGAAGCAATCATCTGATCTTCATTACCTTTAGCCTGCATATGCACTGGTGAACATTAGGACAAAAGCAGGCCATTAGCCTGATTGTGCTCACTTATCTTAAAATATCTGTCCCACAGTTTACCCCTGTGATGATCTCTAGCTCTACAGCTCTTTTATAGCCCAGATATGCTGCCACAGCCTGCCTCAAGCAAACAAGCCACGAGATGGCAGTGTTTCATTGAGGAATATGGCCTCTAGCTGTTTTCTTTACAAACCTCTGAGGACACAGGACACACTGGGACCTGAATCCCCCCCACATGAACTAATGAGCTGAGAAATTGATCTGACATTGATTTGACGTGACAGGCAGGAAGAGCATATGGAAAGGAGTGAAGAAGAAGCTCATGATAGAATGGTTGTCACACTAAATATTTATGTTTACATACAGCATTTGGGCTATTTGTTTTATATGCCAAAAAAACCCAAGAATTTATCACATAAATGACACACTAATATTTCCACCTTCCATATTCAAAACGTTTATCTGTTTATAGTGAGGAGGAATCAGGGAAAAATGATAGGCTAATCAGGGAAAAATGATAGGCTAGGTTAACACTGAAACATTGCCTGTTAGGTCTGCCAAAGGACCAAGCATTTCAAAAAGGAGCCACCTCAACTGTCTCTTCTGGGAGGACTGACTTTTGAATGAGGTTCCCGTGGAAATACTGTAGATACCTACAGATAAATCTACATTTTTAGCTGATTACTACAATGGTCTCATTCTATCAATCACTTGTATAAGGGAGAGTAGGAATGGAACTGCCAAGCTGACACATTTGTGGCTTGGCAGTGTTTTGTTACCGCAGTCAAATGCAAAATCTGTAGCCAGTTTGTACGGTCAATCCTTTGATGCCTTTTATTTCCACTTGTGAATGACTCAGGGATTCCTGTAGGCGCAGGGTACTTTCTCATCATTGATTTCAATGGATTTGATGTAATGGGTCGCATTTTACCAAAAGAGAATCACGGCACCAGCTTTGGGAATGCAGACCCTCACTCCAACTGCACCCCAGCATCAAACCACTTCAGTGCACTCAAAACTCCATTAAGACTAAAATCCTCTGACCTTGGTGGTGGATTGTTATCCTGTCCAAGAACATCATATAAAGCACATTTTTGACAGAGGCTCTGACATTTTCTCCAGCTGTCCTGGAACAAACAAGTTGCAGCATCCACAGGAAACCTGAAGGAGAATCCTTAATAGCCCCTTTAAAGATCTCCAAAAACATGAAGATCTTATCTCTAATAATAATTGTTATTATTATATTATAAACAGTTACATTGACGGAAAGACCTGCCTGATGCACTCAGACTTGCAAAATCAGTATTTTCCCCTGAAACCCCACTTTTCCCCCCAGAGGCTTTGGTTTTTGTAAAGAACTGGAGGATTTTCCTTAATAAATAAACACAATCAATATTGCAATCATATACATGGAACGCCTCACACATTACATTTTTTATAACCAAAATTATCTCTGAAACCTGAACACACAAAACCTTTAGGAAAAACATTCACATTACTCATAACTACAAACAAGGTGTTTCGTGTTATGAAACAGGACGTGACTGGTCGAGAAGTTGAGAAAGGGATTCCTATTGGATTAAAACAGGTTCATTCATTTACTTTAAGGTGTTTACTGTGTAACCCAATGGGCTGCCATGGAGACCACATGCTCTGGCAAGTGAACGTGGCTCAGAGCCAAAGACCCGGGGCCTTCGACAGGAAATGGTAAAACACAGAGACATGCACATGTTTTATCGTTCTTCATAGGAAGAGAAAACAAAGTATGTGTGTTTGTGTGTACTCACTGTTACAAAACGGCTATCAATTCATACATTCAAATATTTGCCTTCACTATTTAAGTTTAGCTGAAGGAGAATTTCCTTTAGGGGGGCAGATGGTGAGATACAAGGTAATCTCACTGGCTTCTATAATTAAACCTAATTAATTGGTACTTGACAGTTTGTTCTGAACGCCTGAGGCTTTTCAGCCATACCACTGAAAAACAGGATTTAGAAAGCTATTATTAAAGCTTTTATGGATTCAGTCACATCTAATCTGTGTCTTTTCTCACATGTCATGACAAGTGCCTAAAATAGTGTCATGATTCATGTTAAGGACCTCTGAAACTGAACATTTAATTTTCATCATTTTATTTGATCAATTAGATCAATTACAATTTAGTGGATCTGTTCAAAGGTGCATTGTTTAATTTTTTGTTTTATCTGTTCCCCTGGGCAATAATTAAATACTTTTTTCATCTGCTAAGTACATTTCTAGATATAATGAAATACAAAACAAAAATTCAAACATAACAAATATCCCCGCCAACAACAGCATGTTAAATTTTTATCATGCGTTATATTCCCATGAAGTTGTTAGGATCTAAGTGAATTTTGTGTTTTCTCTTTTCTTTTCTTTCTCTTTGGGTTGTAAAGGACTTTTGATCAACTGTGTTGTGATTTTTTATTTGCAAACACTTCTTTTATTTTTCCTCAAGATCACTTTTATCACATTTTTTCATCATATCATAATATTTAATATTGAGATGCTAGTCTGATATTCATTCTGGACCTCTCATATTTCTTTTCTGAAAGAGAGCTAGTGCATGTCTACTTGGGTGGATGCAGCAGATGTTGCGTCTTTGAGTGACAGAGAATCCTGTATGATCCCATATGTTGTGCTCTTCTTTCCTGCTTCTGCACAGTCGCATCTCTACGATGCACAAGACACTCCAAATGGTTGTGTTGTTAGTTGGGGGTTGGTTCTTTCCCGTGCACGTTTTCCCAGAAATGAACTGAGATGTTGCTCGTCCATCCGGGCCCTGACATGTTGATCAGACTCCAGACCTTCAGGATAACGAGTCATCTCGCCTCACAACACGGTCACATACCCTTTCTGCCTCACTGAGCCACCTAATAAGAATCCTTGTGTAAACATGATATTCTTAGAAGTTGTGTCTTTTATTGCTTTTACTGTACCAGAAAAAAACTTGAGTTTGAGTATGAGCTGCATTAATTAACATATTCTGCTAATCCATCTTCCTTCAGGTACTAATAACAAGTTCTTAACGAACATAAAAGATGGCAAATGTGAAGCTATTGCAAGGTGGTTGTCATCTCAGCTGTCATCTCTCCTCTCGCTCTTTCACACACTTTCTTCTTCCCTGTCTGGTTCCTTTTTTTCTTACTCTCTCTTTTGAATCCTCAGTGGTCTGGCCATTATCCTGTGTTTGTTTAGTGTTTCTGCTTGGCTGACAGACAGCTGTGGTGTGAGGCTCTGGGTAGGCCTGTGCAAAACGCACAGACCCTGAGGACAGCGATGGACGGTGATTTGAAATGCTGTAACAACTGTGACTTCTTTCTTTCTTACCATGGAACATTTCATAATTGAGACATTGACCAGTGGTGTAGAAATCGGCTGCTAGTGAGAGGCCAGGGTGATTTCTTTCCTATTTTCCACTTTTAATGAGTCTCCATTGTGGCTTAGTGTGTGGCAAGCCTTGGTTTCAAAACATTTAAAGCCAAACCCTGAGTCAGATTGAAATAGATGACCCCGATTTAAATTTTCAATAAATGTAAAACTGCAATAGTTGACCTCTCTTGATTCTCTTTTTTGAAACTTGGACAATTTTAAAATGCATAACCTTGCGAAAGGAATAACGTTCTCACTTAATAGTGCTCCTACAGTTAACATTTTTCACGAACTAATCTAAATGGCAAAGGCCATGGATTTTTTTTTACTGTTTCACAATGACAGTACTTGACAGAACAGTCAAACTGACAGTTGCATTGCATCCACAGCACACTCAAAATAACTTACTGGGCCATCTCATGTGAAACTTTAGCCTCATATTAGGTAAATTCTCCTAGAGGAAAAACGGTCATAATTTCACCCAACACAATAACCTCTTCCTCCAACAATACAACCAAAGACGATTTGCCGAGCCATTAGGCTGCGGTAATGAAATAAACCACCAGTGTGAAAAATGATTTCTATCACTCCTGTCCCCATAGAGTCTGATCTGTGTACAACAAACACATTTAAGCAGCTTGACATCCAATTAGACTCGGCTCCGATCAGACAGACACTCTGTCAAAAGTATAGACATCTTGTCCATTCAATTCCAGAATGACACTGATACTGAGGACATGTCTTCTATACATACAAATCAACAAATAAATAAGGGTGATTTAAGGATGCCAGAACTGATTGTTGAGCATTGCTGTTTATTGGCCAAATTCAATGAAACCTCCAGAAGTTAGGCCTGACATTCCAAATGAGTCACCATCATCCTTTTCTTCAACTTTCTACATCTAGGTGTTCACCTCAAATAGCTCTAGGGTCACTTACATCAGTTTTAGTGTAATAATAAGTGTCAAAAATTCAACAAAAAGTACATAATTGTCTGTAAAATGACCCTGTACTTACATCCCTATATCTCCTGCTATAGGCATTGATTGTGCTCAGCATCATAGAGCTTCATTTCAGATCATTTGTGGTGATCTCAGCTTTTTGTACTGCTTCTTCAGGCCTTACAGTCCATAGACTTGACCAGTCTTCACAGATCATTGTCTAAATAACACCAAATAGGCTTTTTTCACAGCAGATATTTCCACATGACCTAGCAGGAAAAGCATGGGTCAATTTAAGTGTGTCTATTCCTGATATTGTGCATGCTCACTTACTTGAGTGGCTTATTGGGCTGAAGTGGATCTCAGCCATCATTAATGTTATTAGTTTTAAACCTAACACCAGTGAAAAAAAAGCCTGTTCCATGCCTGTTAGTTAATGCAAATTAATCTTTATTTTGTTTTCCTTTTTATACAAATGCTGAAGGGGTAAAATCACATCAAAAGCCTAATTCCCTATAGACATATCATCAGAGCATTATGCCAAGGGCAACTTAAGAATGCCACCAGCTCACTCTAAAATATAACTACTGAGCATTAAAAGCATTCTAACTGCATAGAAAGTTACACCGTAAAAAGCTAATATTCATGCTTGAGTTCATTAAGTAACTCACAGCAAGTAATGTCAAACCCCAACTTACTTTTTTAAATACAGGAGCTAGACTGATAAATAGATCTAGTGCTGGACCGATATAATGGCCAATATTAGCTTTTGAATATATCCCTTACAGACAGGATCTAGTACATAGTCCAGAATATGAAAATCAACTTTTGGTGTAATTAATAAATAAAAATGTAAATAAAAGGTAACAAAGTTAGATTAAGTGTGTTTTTCTGGGTCATGTGCCATTCTCATCCTGTCCTTCACCCAGCTTACTGTAGGCTATTTAAGTTGAAGGTTTTTAGGGAAACAGACCATGAATTCAAGTACTATGGATTTTTGTTGACACTGGAAGTTGATCCAGCGTTTCATCAATCACTGCATCTTTGAGAGCAACTGGTTTGGGGATGGCAGCAAATTCAATAACTATAACTAGATAATGTTTTTGCATGTTGTGGCACTTTCAATACAAATTACGTGTAGCCTACTTTTCCGTGCTGTAGACCACTTCCCGAAAATACCGTTACTGTATAGGACAATGAACACAGTGTTTTTTCTCTCTCTAAATGCCTCTACCTGAGCAGTTTGAGAGGCGCATCTGTCCTCCCTCTTACTGACGTCAGAGCAGCCAGTAGTTTGTCCTCGCGCTGCACGAGCTCGGACTGCTGGAGATCTCTGCGAGGAGGAGGAGCTGTCAAAGTTTGACTTTCCCAGAGAAGGAAAAGTCTTATTACTGAACGAGAAAAGACTAAAGTTTTTTTTTTGTTGTTGAAGTTTTGACAAAGCGGAATATCTCGCGTCGTTGGCATGGTGTGACACCTTCTCTCCGGGAGCTTCAAAAACAACGATGGCAACCCGTTTTCTGAAGTGGATCTGTCTCACCTCTGTGCTCTTCTTGGGCTGCTGTGTTCTGGCGGAAAGGAAAGGTATGTCAGGGAAGCTAATACAACATGAACGTGGCTGGGTCGTAATGCTTTCGGTTTTCCCCTTTGCTGGACATCCAGCATTTGTATAAAGCTCACAGAAATCACAGACTGCTCAAAAAGCCGCAGAGAAACTTGATCCGGCGTGGGAGAAAAGTTTCTCACCGTCTAGATATTCAGCCTGTGAGCTGGTAAAAAAAAGCTACAGAGAGGCTCCAATGAAGTTTGGCGTTAGGAATCAATGCGGGATAGTCATTGGTCATGAATACCGGCGAAAAGTTGGGATTGATTGGCCAATTAGAAAACTGTGCAAATATGCCTCTGTACCACATCCCGTGTGGAATGACCATGACCGAAACTACGCACATTTACGCCACATTGAAGATGATGATGCAGGCAGGGGATGTGGATTGTGCAATTGACTGGCGTGCTTTATTTTCTAGTCCCAAAATGTTAGTTTTTGTTTTTTCTCCACCCTTTTGTCTAGATCTTTTTGTGAGCACTGCAGTGTGAGCAGTTTTGTCTGGAGAGCTTTATGCAGTGTTTGACCTATTTGTAGGCAAAATTAGAATTAAAATGAGGACGATGCTGTCACCTTGAAGCACACACACACCAAAAAAGCTCATTTGATATTATATTTCATATACACAAATCCTTACATACAACTGACACTTTCTCATTTTAGATTTGCTTTTCTGTCTGTTGCCCTCTCAGCTGTTCACATGTATTTGTTTTTTAGAATGTATTTTTCATCATCCTCTAACATGATAAAAAAAAAATCTTGCCAGTGTTCCCAGTGTGTGATCTAGTCCTCAAAGGAAACTAAATCAAAATGTGAAAACAGTCACTTCATCCTGCACAAATTATTTTGCAGAGAGTCTGGAAAGAGGCTAGTGAAAGTGTGAAAACGAGTGCTGAAGTAACAGGAACAGGTTTCTTGGTTTCTATTGCTCTTCTTCTTTTGGTGCTTTCTTTTGGCCCTGAAGTGAAGGTCACAGAAGTCTGTTTTTTTAATGAAATGGCAGTGTTTTGACTGTTGCTTCAGTGCGTTCTTCCACAATTGATATATTTTATCTTTTAACAGCTGAAATATCAGTCTCTAAATGAACAACTCACTACAGGTCAAGCAATATTTGACATAGATCTGACCGAAGAATAAACACAGGAAGGGTCCTGCATCTCAGAGGTTCAGTGAAATGTTAGTGTAAGATTAAAAACTTAAATTAAATAAAAATGTCAATATATTCCACATGTAGTTCTGGTGATTTAGACAAATCAGATGTCAGGAGAGAAAGTGACCAGAAGTATCCCTTTACTCCCTAATGACTTCAGCTTCCTATTCTCATGAATCATCATTGTCCATACTCATTGGTGTGTTGTTCCTCCTTATAAGCAGATAAGAACAGTGTGCTCAGTGCCAGCAGCGCACGTGCAAGTTGCATCTTTCCTGTCTGCTCCAACAAGTAACAACCGGTTTTTAGAGAACCATAACAAATCAAAAGTGTTTGTGAGCCAAAACGACAGAGTCCCTAAATATTTCTGGGCTTTTAAACAAACTAGACCGCACATTTCACGCAGCAGTAAGTCTCCCACAGTAAATAAGAATTTTTAGTATTTTATTAAGACCAGTGAAGATTAGAAATGAGCAGCTGTAATGATAGTTATGCTATGCAGTATAATTTGGTTCTAATTACTGTTCATTTTTTGCGACTGATCCAATTTCCATTTCCAGGCAAATGTGAGCTCTGCCATATGGTATGAGAGTTTTAGTTGTTGTTGTTGTTGTTGTTGTTGTTAGTTTTTGTTTTTGGCCAGAGGCAACGACAGATGTTTCTATGAGGCACACCATGTTTCCCTAGCACACGGTGTCAAGTAATCGTCAAACAATTGAACAAGATGTCAAACTCAAGTAATGTTTTTTTGGGCATCAGAACTCCAAACTGTAAAAGGTCAAATAACAAATATTTGGATATGAAGGATGTTTTACATCTTGATAAACACAGACATTATTATACATTTATTATTTTGTAAAGAAAGAGTTGTAAAATCCTTAATAGCTACACGTTGACTGCCATTTTTCAAGTGTCGGTTTGATGATGAAGACAAACACACTTGTAAGACTGTCACTGTCATGGCTTCCCCACATTAATGTCAAAAGTGAACTTAAAGCTAACAGTGATATAAGGTCATAACATCTAATATCTAAACATAATAAGCAAGCCAAGGCTGCATTTGTTTCCATTAGCATTGTTACAAACGTCAGTGGGATTTTGAATGAGGTTTTCTCACTTCTGGAACATAACCCAGAAAAATTGTGTTTCACTTTTGCTCCCTATTGGATGTTGATGTTACGGGTGGGCTGATCATGTCTTGAGAGTGAGATTTGGATCGGTATATTGCCCAAATAGATATTGGTCTACTTTTATTTTGAAAATCAGAGGTTGGGGGTGTTGAGTGTGTTATTTTCCTGTCTGGCAGAATACTAAAAGATTACTGATGGTGACTGAACCTGCCTGCGTGTGTCAGCTGGAAGTCCACCTAAATTAAGGAACATAAATTATAACTAAATAAATATGTCTTAACTTCCTTAAAATATAAAGTAATTAAATGGCAAAGTACATAAGCTACTGTACTATAACATTTCTCTCCAGTCAAAACCAAGTATTTACAAACAAAAAGAAAGAAAAACAGTCTTGATCTAAGCTTAGTGACAATGCATTTCTGAGATAATCCAAAGGGGTTTGAAAGGGTTTTATAAGTCTTAAGAAGAAGGATAATTTTCTCAGCCTACAAAGGAGCATGTAATCCTTCGACTTATTTTAAAATCACCAAACCGGGAGATACATGATTTTCGGGGATGAGTTTGATCTATATTAGTAGAGTCTGTTTGACCTGAGAGTGTTTGTGTTGCTAGGAAGCAAGTGAGGACATCTGGTCAGCTGTTTACACCAAGAAGTGGCAAAAGCTTTTCCAGTTGAGAAATACTCGAAATTGATGGAGATCGTGGAAAAATAAACACTTTGTGCATATTGTTCTGTATACTAACTAATTTTCACCATGCATGGATCAATGAGCTGAGGAGAGCGAACACCTCATTGTCACAGTAACAGTCCTCACTTTATCGCTGATACCATTACAAAACTACAAGTGGACTGAAATGTGTACACACATTAACAAACACGCTAATTCATCACTTTTCAATTGACAGCGCACTTAACCCCTCCCCTGAGCAGTGGTTGTCCAATCATAGCTTAGCAACTGTAACTAGGCAAGGCTGACCTGTCAAGATTTATGCACATGTTGATACAGTGTGCATGGGCCTGTGGTAAGAGTCATTTAAAGAGTGTGGAGGGTGGTGTCGACGAGCAAATGTGTAAGGAATTGAATAATCAGTTTATTTGCTCTAACATAGGGTGGGGGAGCATAGGGCGGGTTTAGGATCTCTGTCCTGCACTTCATTGGATTTAGGGAAATTTACACTCCAGCAACCACAGCCATCATTAGATATCTTTATGCCTGCCAAATACATCACATTTTCCTTATCCTAAAAGACTTTTGTCTCATAATGTTTAAAAGTGAAAACTTGAAAATACAAGTACCTGTGTAACATAAGCAGACTTTTTCCCGGGGCCATGCAGATTTAGCCTCAATCTTTTAGCCTGTGATCATGTATGTAGCCATTTAGTGCATATTTATGACCTCTTTCCCAACATTATCATCTTAAGCATGCCAGGTGGAAACATTAAAATGTCAACAGGGATGGTGTTTTCAACCAATTCATGGATCTAATGTTAACTTAACCACTGACATCTGATACAGATAAAATATGCTAGCAACAGTTGTCATTTCAGCCAGGGCGGCCAATGGACAATATATAATGAAAGTCATGGACCATTCCATTATTCCATTCAGAGAAAAATACATTGGGTTATGCCCAGAACTTGATTGGAGTTTAAGGAAGAGTGAGGTACAGTTTGTCAGAAGTGACTTCATTCAATTATTCTCTGCAGTATAACAATATATATTTAACGCTGGCAAGTACTGGTTTTATATTATATTTACTGTAGGGCTCAAACGATTCTTCAATTAAATCAATTAATTCGATTACTAAAGAGCACTGACACAGATTCTTTGCATCGATGCTTCGTTTAATCCATATAATATACAGCACACTGTTTCGCACAGACATTTATTACTGTCGCACTTTGCGCTTATGCTGTGTGAACACGACGTGATTATGATGGCGCTGTTTGCAAAGTGGAGGAAGAGAGAGAAAACAGCGAGGGACGAAAAAGAAAGTTTCCAAAGTATGTGATTATTTCAAGCTAAAAGAAAACAACTACTCTATAATGTTACAGTCCGTTCACCTTAAAATGAAACTTATGTCACTTACCAGAACAGCACAATTGCATCTGATCAGAAAGCACCCGGTCTATCATCAAGTCCACGGAGCAGACCACAGACAAGGTAATAGTAACTATAGCATTCAACTGAAATCATGATTGATTGTTGAGTTGAAGGCTATCAAAAGTAAGCCGCAATCCTCAGCTGTAAATGTATACACGTGCGTTTGTTCTTCTCCGCCTGGTTGGGCCGTGAGTTTGGGTTGTAACGTCACAGTCACGAGTTAACTTACCCAGCTGATCCCATTACCGGGGAGAAACGTATTAACATTTAGAAAAGACAGTGGTGACTGAGGAAATTTAGGGCTGGAAACTAACCACCTGTACCACCTTTCCAAAACTCACAAGGGAGTGTGCTAACATCGTTCCAGCGAACAGCTGCTTGCAGATGTGTCCGCAGGCATTTTTATGTTTATCGGCCTGGTGAGTGCCGTTTTCTCAAAATGCCTGATATCGGTCCAATTGATGGATCGGCCAATTAATCCGGCCGACATCTGGCACTAGTAGTGAACAGTCAATTTGTTTTTACTTTTTGCAGTAGCTTATAACGGTTCATTAAATATCAAAAACAGCTGTACCCAATGATATCAAATATGTTTT